TCTGGTCTAGAGATGGGGACCTCTGGTCTAGAGCTGGGGACCTCTGGTCTAGAGCTGGGGTCCTCTGGTCTAGAGCTGGGGACCCCTGGTCTAGAGCAGGGCAGTCCTGGTCTAGAGCTGGGGACCTCTGGTCTAGAGCTGGGGACCTCTGGTCTAGAGCTGGGGACCTCTGGTCTAGAGCAGGGCAGTCCTGGTCTAGAGCTGGGGACCTCTGGTCTAGAGATGGGGACCCCTGGTCTAGAGCTGGGGACCTCTGGTCTAGAGCTGGGACCCCTGGTCTAGAGCTGGGGACCTCTGGTCTAGAGCTGGGGACCCCTGGTCTAGAGCAGGGCAGTCCTGGTCTAGAGCTGGGGACCTCTGGTCTAGAGATGGGGACCTCTGGTCTAGAGCTGGGGACCCCTGGTCTAGAGATGGGGACCTCTGGTCTAGAGCTGGGGACCTCTGGTCTAGAGCTGGGGTCCTCTGGTCTAGAGCTGGGGACCCCTGGTCTAGAGCAGGGCAGTCCTGGTCTAGAGCTGGGGACCCCTGGTCTAGAGATGGGGACTTCTGGTCTAGAGCTGGGGACCTCTGGTCTAGAGCTGGGGACCTCTGGTCTAGAGATGGGGACCCCTGGTCTAGAGCTGGGGACCTCTGGTCTAGAGCTGGGGACCCCTGGTCTAGAGCTGGGGACCTCTGGTCTAGAGCTGGGGACCCCTGGTCTAGAGCAGGGCAGTCCTGGTCTAGAGCTGGGGACCTCTGGTCTAGAGCTGGGGACCTCTGGTCTAGAGCTGGGGACCTCTGGTCTAGAGCAGGGCAGTCCTGGTCTAGAGATGGGGACCTCTGGTCTAGAGCTGGGGACCTCTGGTCTAGAGCTGGGGTCCTCTGGTCTAGAGCTGGGGACCCCTGGTCTAGAGCAGGGCAGTCCTGGTCTAGAGCTGGGGACCCCTGGTCTAGAGATGGGGACCTCTGGTCTAGAGCTGGGGACCTCTGGTCTAGAGCTGGGGACCTCTGGTCTAGAGCTGGGGACCCCTGGTCTAGAGCAGGGCAGTCCTGGTCTAGAGCTGGGGACCTCTGGTCTAGAGATGGGGACCTCTGGTCTAGAGCTGGGGACCCCTGGTCTAGAGCAGGGCAGTCCTGGTCTAGAGCTGGGGACCTGGTCTAGAGATGGGGACCTCTGGTCTAGAGCTGGGGACCTCTGGTCTAGAGCTGGGACCTCTGGTCTAGAGCAGGGCAGTCCTGGTCTAGAGCTGGGGACCTCTGGTCTAGAGATGGGGACCTCTGGTCTAGAGCTGGGACCTCTGGTCTAGAGCTGGGGTCCTCTGGTCTAGAGCTGGGGACCCTGGTCTAGAGCAGGGCAGTCCTGGTCTAGAGCTGGGGACCCCTGGTCTAGAGATGGGGACCTCTGGTCTAGAGCTGGGGACCTCTGGTCTAGAGCTGGGGACCTCTGGTCTAGAGCTGGGGACCCCTGGTCTAGAGCAGGGCAGTCCTGGTCTAGAGCTGGGGACCTCTGGTCTAGAGCTGGGGACCTCTGGTCTAGAGATGGGGACCTCTGGTCTAGAGATGGGGACCCTTGGTCTAGAGATGGGGACCTCTGGTCTAGAGCTGGGGTCCTCTGGTCTAGAGCTGGGGACCCCTGGTCTAGAGATGGGGACCCCTGGTCTAGATGGGGACCTCTGGTCTAGAGATGGGGACCCTTGGTCTAGAGATGGGGACCTCTGGTCTAGAGCTGGGGTCCTCTGGTCTAGAGCTGGGGACCCCTGGTCTAGAGATGGGGACCCCTGGTCTAGAGATGGGGACCTCTGGTCTAGAGCTGGGGACCTCTGGTCTAGAGATGGGGACCCCTGGTCTAGAGCTGGGGACCTCTGGTCTAGAGCTGGGGACCCCTGGTCTAGAGCTGGGGACCTCTGGTCTAGAGCTGGGGACCCCTGGTCTAGAGCAGGGCAGTCCTGGTCTAGAGCTGGGGACCTCTGGTCTAGAGCTGGGGACCTCTGGTCTAGAGCTGGGGACCTCTGGTCTAGAGCAGGGCAGTCCTGGTCTAGAGATGGGGACCTCTGGTCTAGAGCTGGGGACCTCTGGTCTAGAGCTGGGGTCCTCTGGTCTAGAGCTGGGGACCCTGGTCTAGAGCAGGGCAGTCCTGGTCTAGAGCTGGGGACCCCTGGTCTAGAGATGGGGACCTCTGGTCTAGAGCTGGGGACCTCTGGTCTAGAGCTGGGGACCTCTGGTCTAGAGCTGGGGACCCCTGGTCTAGAGCAGGGCAGTCCTGGTCTAGAGCTGGGGACCTCTGGTCTAGAGATGGGGACCTCTGGTCTAGAGCTGGGGACCCCTGGTCTAGAGCAGGGCAGTCCTGGTCTAGAGCTGGGGACCTCTGGTCTAGAGATGGGGACCTCTGGTCTAGAGCTGGGGACCTCTGGTCTAGAGCTGGGGACCTCTGGTCTAGAGCAGGGCAGTCCTGGTCTAGAGCTGGGGACCTCTGGTCTAGAGATGGGGACCTCTGGTCTAGAGCTGGGGACCTCTGGTCTAGAGCTGGGGTCCTCTGGTCTAGAGCTGGGGACCCCTGGTCTAGAGCAGGGCAGTCCTGGTCTAGAGCTGGGGACCTCTGGTCTAGAGCTGGGGACCTCTGGTCTAGAGATGGGGACCTCTGGTCTAGAGATGGGGACCCTTGGTCTAGAGATGGGGACCTCTGGTCTAGAGCTGGGGTCCTCTGGTCTAGAGCTGGGGACCCCTGGTCTAGAGATGGGGACCCCTGGTCTAGAGATGGGGACCTCTGGTCTAGAGATGGGGTCCTCTGGTCTAGAGATGGGGTCCTCTGGTCTAGAGCAGGGGACCTCTGAAATGTTTTTGAAAGTTTCATTCTGTTAGATTTTCTCTTCCTCCTTTTAGAAATGCCTGGATGAAAAGTGATCAGCAATAAAACACTGTGGAAAATGATGAGACGTAATTTAGTATTTCCGTACAGAACCAGACTGATGTGGACAGATGTTTTCACACCAGCTGCTGATCCTGTGAGCAGAACCGTCCCGGACCTGAAGGAACCCACAGAAACTGGACAGAACCAGGATCTCCTGAACCCACTGCTGTGTTTCCTTGCAGCTCCCAGGAAGCAGGACATGCAGCTGGACGGAATCCTCTCAGGTGTTTCTCTGCCAGAAGGGTCACAGGTCAGGTTTGGTTCCATTAAACGGGAAACCAGCAGGTGGCGCTGCAGGCTCTATCAAGCTGAGGCCACTGAAACGTGACCTCTGACCTGTGCAGCAACAAAAGCAGCTGATCTTTTGAGGCGTGAACACTTTAGATTGTCCCATTGATTTTAGATGAAAGGAGGGAAACGTTGACAGAGACCCAGCCGGATCCAGTCAGATCCAGACCGCTGCTGACCACTTCCTGTTTCCTACTTCCTGTTATCCAGTCTTCCTTCAACCTCCCTCCGGCTGCAGAGCAGAGGAGTCAGAGGTGAGACTCTTGAGGTAAAACGTTTTGGATCTCATCTGGTTTCTGGTTCAGATTTACAGGAAACATGTTGGATCTGCATCAGAGCGGTTCTGGTTCTGGTTTGGTTCTGCAGCTGCTGCAGAGTGACCCAATCCATTCCCCCGATTCACCCTCCGCTCTTCCATCTAGGAACGACCCTGAAGGTCACGACTCTAAATCAAGCATTTCAGATTAGCATCTCAATAGCTCCAGTGATCCCTGACCTTTGCCCCCACGTCCCAGAGGAGCGTCTCCTCCGTACATCACCAAGTTCAACAGAACAATCTGGATGATGACATCACAGGAACATGGCTGCTGCTGGAAAACAAAGAATTTCTGCCAGAAAACTCAAATTTTCTACAACAAACAACTAAATTTCTGAGTTTCCAACAGATTAATCTCAACATTCCTGCAGGACTTCAGTCAGAGGCCTCTTCAGATTCACTGCGATGCTGACTGCTACAACATGATGATCATAACAATATGAACTGAACTCAGTTTATTATTTAATGTTTCAAAACACAAAGTGGTTTATAAATCACTATAGATCTAAACTTAGTCTGACTGAAAAATGTAGATATTTGTCCTGTTTTCAGCATCTGGAGTGAAACTCTATGATCGATTATTTTATTTCTACAATGAAGGAAAATCCAGTTATTAAAAGTCAGAACTGATTTTCCTGAACTTTCTCTGCATGAGGAGAATCTTCTGCTCTATCAGCCAGCTGACCAGCAGAGGTTCTGATCCGGTTGGAACCAAGCAGGAACCACCAGAGGGTTTGCCGTCTGTGTGAGGAACCCGTGTGTCTGGAGCGTCAGGAGTGTGAGACGGTTTCATGGGTCCAGTTCCCTGCAGCAGAACCTCCAGACTCACCGGAGCTCAGAGCAGCTGCTGCTGCAGGACGTCCTGCAACATGACGTCCTTCAGCATGACGTCCTGCAGCAGGACGTCATGCTGAAGGACGTCACGCTGCCGGACGTCCCGCTGCCGGACGTCCTGGGGTCATGCTAAAGGGGGCGGAGCCAAGCGGAGGACCCGCCCCCTCAGGTGGAGCAGCCTCCCGTCTCTGAATAACCCGGTTGGACTCCGGACTGGACCTGGTTCTTCTGGGTCTCTGATGGACTTGTTTGTTCAATCGTAGGCTTTTATTCTGAAAGTCCCAACTGGAAGTTGTGTGAGGGGACCGGTTGAGGTTCTGGAAGGCAGAAAGGACCAACGTGGGCAGAACCCAACAGAACCAGACCTGGACTCTGTTCATCTGGACCCTGCTGTGACCCGGGTCGCCATCAGAACCTCCACCACCCACTGAGGTTCTGCTGCCGTAACCCACCAACCGGATCGGACCAGCTGGTTCTGAAGAAACCCAGCGTGATGAGACCAAGGTTCTGCTTGTTCTAGAGAGGACCAGAACCGGGCCTGATCCAGGCCTCCAGGTCTCTATAGATTCTAATCTATAATAAACAACAGAACCGGGTCAGAACCTGAGATGATTTTCATCTGATTTTTTATATTAGAAACTAGAAATGACAGAAATCAGTTTGACCCGTCTCTCTCTGGGATCCAGAACCATCGGATCCGACCAATTAGAGAGCAGAACCAGTCACCATGGAAACCATGAGGTCCAACGCAGCCTTCTGATTGGCCGGCCGGTCTCAGGTGCGGCTCTTCTCCAGAACCTTCTGCTCCAGTTCAGCGTAGCGCCTCAACATCGGGTCGTAAACCTGGAGCAGAAGAAAAACGCCACTTCCTGTTTACCTGTCAGGTCAGAGCCAATCAGCTGCTCCACAGAGACCATCTATACCTGAAGCCCCGCCCCCACAGCTTCAGGGGGCGGGGCTTCAGGTGATAACTGGTCGTGTTTACTGGTTTTCCAACATCGCCTGGCGGCTGACCTGCGGAGCGGCGCGGTGCGGGCGACACACCTGCTGAGGTTCTGGAGCATTCCTCAGCAGGTCCAGGAAGGAGACTCCAGAATCCGCCACTAAACCTGGAACAGCCAATCAGACGGCAGAGTTTCAGCCACATGACCAACAGGAGTCAAAATAAAAACATGATTTTATGATTAAAGTTTCAATAAAATCCTGTGAAGAAGTTAAAAACGATCCTCCTCACTTCCCGCCAAAACGATTATCAAAATAAATGTGAATTTCTTTTCTGAATAATCGGAATAAATCTCTAACTGCTGCCCCTGGTGGCCGCTCCAGGCACTGCAGCGCCGCAGGTAAAAACTGGACCGATGACATCATTCCTGTGACGGGTCATGTGGTTGACCAATCAGGAAGTTGGCTCTGCTGTGTTAACGTTGCTATGGTTACCGTGGAGGGCTCGGTAGGCGGAGCCTAAGCAGGCGGAGTCCGACAGGTCAATGGTGTAAACCGGAGCGTTGAAGACGTCGGACAGAACCTGAACAGAACCAGAACCTCAGCGGTCAGAACCGGGTCCATTTGGACACCAGAACCTCCAGCAGAACCTGAAGAACCACCTGCAGGATCTGCCTGTTGGCTGAAGCGCCGCCGGTGGCCAGAACCCGACTGCCGGACCCTGAAACACAGACAGAACGGTACCGGTACCGGTTCTGATCGGCCGGGACATCAGGAGACACGGGACAGAGACTCGTCCTACCGATGGAGTATCCGAGTCTCTCAGCGTGGAGCCGGCGGGACAGAAACTGTCCCTCCACCAGAGCCCGGACCTCCAGCTCTGGACTCCAGGAGGACACCTGGAGACAGGGGGACAGGAGAGCGTCAGGTAGGGGACAGGGGGACTAGGGAGGGACAGGTAGGGGACAGGCAGGGGACAGGCAGGGGACAGGGGGACAGGAGAGCGTCAGGTAGGGGACAGGTAGGGGACAGGGGGACTAGGGAGGGACAGGTAGGGGACAGGGGGACAGGAGAGGGTCAGGTAGGGGACAGGGGGACTAGGGAGGGACAGGTAGGGGACAGGGGACAGGAGAGGGTCAGGTAGGGGACAGCAGGGCGGGGCTTCCTGTCTGACCTGGCGGTCGTTGGCATCGAAGCGATGCAGACCGACGGCGGGAGGCATGATCTCCATGTCAAAATAAAAGCCTGGGGGGACAGACAGACATGAGAGAGGACAGCTTGGGGGACAGAGGGCGACAGAGGCGGCGTGTCCACCAATGTTGCCGTGGTTCCCCAACGGCGTCCCGTCCAGCGCCTGGGAGAAACGTCCCAGGACCCGGAGCAGCACCGGTTCCGGACTCGTTCCCGGGTCAGAGATCCGTTCTTAAAGCTGGGGACAAACACAGGCTTTTATTGTGAAGGGCCAGCGGTGGCAGCACCTGCCTGAGGACCCGTCCTACCAGAGCAGAGCCATGAAGCCGTCCGGCTCCACCGGGCTGCAGAAGACGTGTCCCTCCAGGGACGGACGCGGCTCAGAGAGGGACAGGAACAGAGTGTCGCTCGTCCCCAGGCTGACCTGGAGAGAGAGAGGACTCAGGGACACGGACACGTCCCACAGACAGATCGGTACCGGGGCCTCACCGCCATGTCCCCCTGATGGAGACGCATTCCTGCCAGAGACGCTGAGGAGAGGAGGAGAGACAAAGACGTCAGCAGGAGGTTCTGATCCGGAGGTTCTAAGTTCTCCGGTCCACAGCAGAACCAGAACCTTCACACGGTTCTGGTTTAGCTGCGTTTATTTTTTATATTTTAAATTATTCAGTCATTTTATTGTTTAGATTTAATTTCAGTTTTTTAATTTCCATCAAAATATTGTAAATTAAATCATTAAATTTCATCATTTCTCTGTGTGAGTCAAAGGAGGCTAGTGCAGCTGGGGCGGCGACCCCTGACCCTGACCCTGCTGCCCCCTGCCCCGCCCCTTCCTGGCCCCCTGCCACGCCCCTTCTGGCCCCCTGCCCCGCCCCCTGCTGGCCCCCTGCCCCGCCCCCTCCTGGCCCCCTGCCCCGCCCCCTCCTTGCCCCCTGCCCCGCCCCCTCCTTGCCCCCTGCCCCGCCCCCTGCTGGCCCCCTGCCCCGCCCCCTCCTGGCCCCCTGCCCCGCCCCCTCCTGGCCCCCTGCTGGCCCCCTGCCCCGCCCCCTCCTGGCCCCCTGCCCCGCCCCCTGCTGGCCCCCTGCCCCGCCCCCTGCCCCGCCCCCTCCTTGCCCCCTGCTGGCCCCCTGCCCCGCCCCCTGTCCCGCCCCCTCCTTGCCCCCTGCCCCGCCCCCTGCTGGCCCCCTGCTGCCCCCTGACCCTGCTGGCCCCCTGCTGGCCCCCTGCCCCGCCCCCTCCTGACCCCCTGCTGGCCCCCTGCCCCGCCCCCTCCTGACCCCCTGCTGGCCCCCCGTCCAGCCCGTCCTGCTCTGTCCCACCTGGGTTGTCTCCAGTGAACGCCATGACGCTGCAGCTCCCAGAGAAACCATAGCGACGCTGCAGGAAGGACGAGACCGGGCCCTGCAACGCCAAGAAGGACCAGTAGGGGCAGGAAGGAACCAGTAAACCAGTAAAGACCAGTAAACCAGGAACCCAGTTACCAGGACGGCGGTGGACGGACACGGCTGTCCCAGCAGGCGCTCCAGGTTGGTTGCCGTGGCGTCCAGGCAGACCTGAGACCACTTCCTGTCCCGGATGTCCAACAGATTCATCCCAGAACCTGATGAACCAATCAGAGAAGCTTCCTGGTCATGTGAGCGACCAGAGGTCAGAGGTCAGGGGTCAGATAGTACCATCGCTGTAGTCGATGGCAGCATAGCGACCCAGGAAGAGAGACGCCCCAAAGCTGCTGACCAATGAGATCCTCTGAAAGACACAAGGGACATGAGACAGGAAGACAACACCTGGGCGGGGCCTAAAGGGGCGGAGCTTAAACTACTGCTGTAGCTCTGACCTCAGTGTCCTGGAACTGGTCCGGTCGGGTCTGCCGCACTTTGGAGATCTGGTTTCCTGTGAAGCGCTTCAGGAGGAGATGGACACGTCCTTCAGACAGAGAGACAGACAAGCAGAAAGACAGACAGGTGGACAGACAGGTGAACCTCGTAGGCTCTGGATCCAGTGATGTCTGCCAGCCTCATGGCGCCCCCTGCTGCCTCCTGCAGGGCATCACACTGCGGCCCGCTGCTGGAGTCCATCCACACGGGACTGTCCTGGACCGAGAAGCTGTGCTGAGGACACACACACACAGTCAGGACACACACTGTGAGGACACAGTCAGGACACACACACCTTCAGCTGCTGGTGCAGGTTCTGACCCGGGTCCAGCTGGGCCAGAGTCCAAGCCGCTCCAGTCCTCCAGAACACGGCGCCATTTGCTGAGGAGGAAGAGGAAGGGTTTTGGTCCGGTTCTGGCGAAGCCACTCCCAGAACCCAGAGCCTCACCTGGCCGGAACCGGACAGCGCCCGGACCCGGGAGAACCCGAACCCCCCGCCTTCATCCTGTCCAGCAGCAGGTCCAGAGCCTGAGGGACAGACAGCCAATCAGGAGGCAGAATGATTCCAGTCCGCTGAGCTCAGCTCCAGGTGAACCGTCTCACCTTGACCCACATGAGCACAGGTGAGGTGACCGTCAGCCCGTCAGGATGGATGTGAACTCCTCCCTGAGTCCTGAACAAAGACACTTTTCAGAATAAAAGCCTGGCACACCCTTTTAGAATAAAAGCTGCTGGACGTTACCTGAACTCAGGTAGCTCAGAGTCAAACTGCAGGCTGACCTGATGGACCGGGCGCAGGTCTCCATCGATGGCCACCGCCTTCAGCTGCAACCAACATACCCATTACTGCCCCGCCCACCAGGAGGCGCTGGGGGCGGGGCTTACAAGACTGACTTCCAGCTGCTTCCCTCCACTAACCTTTGAACAGGTCATGAACTGGTGACTCGTTCAGAGTGGTGAACTACATCACACTTTAGAGTTAAAATCCAAAAAAGTTACAGTTAGTGTGCCAACAGTGCAGCTAAAATTAGCATGGTGGCTAACCAAACCTGACGTAGGCAGTGCATCTATGCAAGCTAATGCTAATTTTAAAATCCAAATGAATTCACAATAATTAGCTATTAGGACATCAACATTAGTGGCTTAGTATTGCTAGTATTTAGTAAAGACTAAATATTAGCAATATTTAGTCTAACTCGGAAAACACAACGTTAGAGTTAGCATGCTAACATAATAAAATATAACAACAATATTTGGTCTTTATTGTTTGCATGTATATTTGAGACAAATGAGCTATAATTAATGTAAACATTAGCACAGAGCTTTGCGATGCTAATATTTAATAAAACAGAAATGATTCTTCGTGATATTAGCATCCTGGAAATGTTACAGCAGGCTAGTCACCAATTAGCAACCGTCTTGAGCTAATGCGATCAATGAATAAATTTATAACAATTACTTTGTTAGAATCATTAATCATTTCTTGGTAAAAAAAAAACTGTTGACAAATCAAATGGTATCAATGGAACTTATGAAGTTATAAAGTTATAAACTTATAAACTTAAAAAGTTATAAACTTATAAAGTTATAAAGCGCTTTTCCACACATTTTGACACTAGAGTCACATTCACACACATTCATGCACCGATACGCAGACCGGCAGGGAATTTGAGGTTAAGTGCCTTGCCCAGAGGCACATCGACATGTGGCAGGAGGAAGCTGGAACCGAACCTAACCTTCTCAGTGCAAGACGACTGCTCTACCATACAGCCCATGAAAACAACCTGTTTCTGTGGAAAGGTTTGTTCTCTGGGTGTTTAACCTGCACAGAAAACAAACGTCTCAGGATTTATTATTTCTGTCTGATTTGGTTTCATAATCATCAGGATTCAGTTTCAGAAGCTAAAAATGTCCTTCAGCACCCAGGATTTTATGGATCCGTGCCGCACATTTCAGCAACAGGACATTCAAAGAGCTTTACATTAGAAACAGAAAATCACACAGTGAACAACGTCACAAATCAGATTATTGATTATTGATTAATTGATTAGGTTCCGAAAGCAGTTCCAACAGATGGAACCGGGCTGTAGAACCGGGGCTGTAGAACCAGCCGGTGGTGGACGTCCTTGATTCTGACTGGATTCGCCATGTTGGATTGTGAGTCTGGTGTCGGTGGCCCAAAGGCGGTCCGACCCGACTGGACCCTGATCATTCACTCCTGCAAGTCAAAGTTCAGAGTCCTCTTTGGGTCAGTGAGTTCTGCTGGGTCAGACCTGGTCAGAACCGTTGCAGGTTCAAAGGTTAAATCTGATCAACCAGACAGAACTCTGCTGGGTGAACTTTGACCTTCCACAGGTTCTGGTTCCGCTTGTTCTTTAGTTAAAGATACTGTATAGTTAATGTCCATTCGGGTCAGAACCAGTAGTTCTTCACGGAACCGGTTCTCCAATCTGGTCTCTCTGCACAAGACCCAAAGTGAACCTCATCACTTCCGGTATAAACAAAGTCTGAAACTCTCTGCACTGTAGCTCTGCGTCTGCGCAGTAAGCTTCCTTCCACGCGCATGCACGCGGCTACGTAAACACGCGTCTCCCGGAACCTGCAGTTGGACCGGGTCCGGTGAGGTTCTGCTCTTACCTGCTGGGTGCTGAAGTCCAGGCCCAGGTAGAGAGGAGAGTCCGGTTCTGCTGCCATGCCGCTGATAGGCGCATGCGCACTGAGCCCTAGGGGCGGGGTAGAGAGATTTAAAGAAACAGAGAGAGAGAGAGAGAGAGAGAGGTGAGTCTGAGGGGGCGGGGCCAGGTGTTCCTGCTGGGAGCAGGAACTAGGAAGAGGAAGATGGATGTGTCTGCGCTGAGACAGCAGTACAGGATGAGCAGAAACAAGCAGAGGACAGAGCTTCACCTGCTGAGGACAGGTGAGGGGACAGGTGGATTCTGGGTTTGGTTCTTTAAAAGCTTCTGCTCAGTTTCCAGCTGATAGACATGTGTCCTCGTCCTCTCTGTGTCTCTTCCACATGTTCCAACAGCTGATCGTCCTTCTGGTCCAGATTAATGTCTTTAATGTTTCTGATGATTTTATCCAACAGATCAGCATAAAAACATAATAAATAACAAATCAAACCGTATCAAAGACCACAGCAGCGTTTCCACTGCAGGTGATCAGTCAGCACCCAGTCTGGGATCCCAACAGGACACAGAAAAGCTCCTACCAGATGTGGTCCTATACTAGCTTAGCGGTCCTAGCCTCTGGTCCTAGCCTAGCACTAGCCTATGGTCCTAGCAATCCTAGCCTAGCACTGGCCTATGGTCTTAGCTTAGCGGACCTGGCCTAGCACTAGCAGTCCTAGCCTAGCACTAGCCTATGGTCCTAGCTTAGCGGTCCTAGCCTATGGTCCTAGCTTAGTGATCCTAGCCTAGCACTAGCCTATGGTCCCAGCTTAGCAGTCCTAGCCTAGCACTAGCCTATGGTCCTAGGTTAGTGGTCCTACTCTAGCACTAGCCTGTGGTCCTAGCTTAGCGGTCCTAGCCTAGCACTAGCCTGTGGTCCTAGCTTAGCAGTCCTAGCCTAGCACTAGCCTATGGTCCTAGCTTAGCAGTCCTAGCCTAGCACTAGCCTATGGTCCTAGCTTAGCGGTCCTAGCCTAGCACTAGCCTGTGGTCCTAGCCTAGCAGATGTAGCTTGTTTGGTGCCTGAGCGAACTACCCTAACCCTTTCCTCCTCAAGAGGCATTAGGGATTAGCCCTATTATTAGCTAAACTAATGGATACAATGCAGCTGATCAGGATCCATCAGATTATCAATCACATTTTCTAATCTCTGAGTTCTTGTGTCTCCAGGCTCGTCTGTCGTCAGCATCGTACCTGTTGCTCAGGGTTGGACGTCATCATGGCAAGCGGCCTTTCCCTCCCCTCCTGACCCAAAGATGTTGGACCCGTGGCACGTCCACCTGGACCTGCACCGGCGCCGCCCTGCAATCGCCATGGAGTCGGAACGGAGCCTCTGCAGGTCCAGAACCGCCTCCAGCTGGTTCTGGTCCCGACCCGATCCACCTCTGATCTTCATCCCTAGATGTTCCCCCTCCTCATCCTCACAGGCCCACCCACAGACACACACACGGCTGGTCCTGTTCCGCTCGGTCCAGGGGAGCCTTCACCAGACTCTGCGCCACTCAGGACCAGAACCAGAACCAGAACCAGAACCCAGGAGGTGGAACCGGGCTCTTCTGATCCGCTACCCGTTCCCCAGCAGGAGAACCCTGAGGATCTCTGAGGCTGCCAGGAGGCTGGGCCTGTACCCATCCTCCTGAGGTTCTGACGGGTCCAGAACCCGACTGGAACCCACCAGAACTAACAGAACCCGCTAGCTTCTGTTCTTCATTCTCCTTTGGACCTGAACAGAACCGAGCCCAGATAAAAGATTGGTCTCATCTCATGTCTCTGTTTCAAACATGATGTAAAGAAACGTCACCAGAACCGGAACCGGACCGGTTGAAGTATTTCCAGTCCGATTCTGATGATGTAATGTTTCCAGAACCTTTTAATCAAAATAATTTGTAGCTTATTAAATCATAAATGCAGATATTTACTTTTTAAAACTTTGGATTCATTCATTGTGTTTTTATTGCTGCTGAACTTTAAGCTTTTAAAATGTTTTTCACTTTTTCTGTTATTTTTATGTTTACTGCTTTTAAAAATCATATTTCAGTATTTACCTCCCTCTGAGGTTCTGCCTGATTACAGTCATATTTCATTTTGGTTTCCATTTATTTTATTTTTGTGTAATTCTTATTCTGGATCTTTTTTTCCATTTATTTATTTCAGTTGTTTTTTGATATGCTGACATTTATAGATTTTGGTTTCCATCCCACTAACTTTATTCTCACCGTTTTATTTTGATTTATTTATTCTTTTATAACTTGCTGCCTTTTCAATCCGCTTTGTAAAGTCATCGCGCTGTTTGACCCTCGGAGGCCACCACCCACTTTGTACAAAGATCGTCTCTGCTTGTTGAGATGGCTTGGTCCTTCTGTACCGCAGCTTCTCCGCCCTTTCTGAGCAGCGGGTTTTGTAAAGCCGCTCAGAGTGAGACCTCTCGCCGTTTGTTCCTCTCTGCAGGAGCAGCTCCATGAAAACATCTTCGTCGTGGACCGTCAGGTCTGGGCATCTTCCTCTTGTTTCGGGTCCCTCAGCTCGGAGTCAGCTGCTCGTCGTTATCTGCGAGGTAACTCTGAGGTCAGAGGTCAGCCTCCTGACCCACTGATTATTAACAACCTGCTACCTGCTGAGTAGAAGCGTCTCTGTGTCTCTGGAGATAAATATTCGGCTGCTTTTAGGAAACATCTTCACTTGTATCCGGTTCGAAGAGAACGATACGTTGCTGTGAGTTTAAATAAAACCTAAAGTTTAACCCTGAAAGTGAAGAATATGTGGCGAATTAACGCGACAACTCTCGGAGTAAAGTTTGTGTTTACGTGATGGAAATGACGTCATTTCCTGTTAAAAAATGTGAAAGTTCAATCTTTAAGTCAGACGCATCAAAACTTTTCGATCTTGGGTTCTGGTTCTGATCCGGTTCGGCCATTCTGGACGTGATGGACTACATTTCCCACAATGCAATACAATGGAATCCGTCGATTCTAGCTCTAGCCTTCAAAATAAAAGCTTTTTTTTGTTGGTTTTGGACTAAAACTTTATTCAGATGATTAAAGATTACATCCGATATGATGATGAATTATGATAATAATACGTGATTAAATACTTTTTAGCAGCTTTGAATCATAAATATAATGATTTTATAGAACCATCTGTGTCAGATCAGAAGTATTAGATAACATTTATTAGTTATATTGATGCTTATTGTCCAGATTTAAAGGTTAATTCACTGTCAGACTGTTTAGAAAGCTTCAATTTTCATTGTAAGTTTTTAATTTCATATAAGTTTTTACTTCCTTCAGCTTCTATTCTAAAATATTCCCACGTTTCTGACCTGATGATTACGGCCCTCAGGGAAATGTCTGCTTTTTACTGTGAAAGATTCTGGACCTTCTCACTTCTCTGACCCGATTCAGCCTGTTGAAAGTGAATCAGTTTCCAGACAAGACGGGATTCCCTGTGCTCCGGTTTCCTGTCCTGTGGTCTACTTCCTGTCTTGTGGTCTACTTCCTGTCCTGTGGCTGACTTCCTGTCTTGTGGTCTACTTCCTGTCTTGTGGTCTACTTCCTGTCCTGTGGCTGACTTCCTGTCCTGTGGCTGACTTCCTGTCCTGTGGTCTACTTCCTGTCCTGTGGTCTACTTCCTGTCCTGTGGTCTACTTCCTGTCCTGTGGCTGACTTCCTGTCCTGTGGCTGACTTCCTGTCCTGTGGTCTACTTCCTGTCCTGTGGTCTACTTCCTGTCCTGTGGTCTACTTCCTGTCCTGTGGCTGACTTCCTGTCCTGTGGTCTACTTCCTGTCCTGTGGTCTACTTCCTGTCCTGTGGCTGACTTCCTGTTCTGTGGCTGACTTCCTGTTCTGTGGCTGACTTCCTGTCAGTGCCAGCAACATGGCGGAGCAGAACCTGCAGGCCAAGCTGAAGAACCTACTGAAGCAGGAGAAGGTCCAGCTGTGGAATCCTCCGTTCACCCAGGAGGACGACCAGTCGGGCGCCGCGCAGCTACAGGTGGGTCGGAGTGAGACTGCGCTCTGATTGGCTGAAGGAGGACGCCTCCACAGAGTTCATAGGTCAGTGTTTCCCAACCCGGTCCTCCAGACTCGCTGCCCTGCGTGTTTTCGAGGTTCCCCCGCGTTGAGCGGTCTGCAGGCGGAGCGTCAGGCGGAGCCGAGCCGGGAAACACGGAGCGGATTCTGCTGAGGAACCGGCAGCAGGAGGACCAACTGCAGATCAGAGAACAGTTTGATCTGGAGAAACAGTTTGATCTGGAGAAACGACAAACTGCCAGAGAAATAAATTCAGTAGCAGAGATCGATAAAATTAGTCTCATTTTAATTTTATTTGTTTTATCAAATAAAATCTTCACCTTCCTAAAAATGTTGTTTTCCAAACTTGACTTGGGCCACGATTTAAAACTTAACTTATAATGTGAAAGTTTTGCTTTAATGACAAAATGCTTCAAGGTTGAGTTTTATAGCTCATCTTTATCAAGTTTTATCTCATTTTATGAAAACATTCTCATTTTAGCAGAAAACTTTCTTGTTAATGAATTTTATCTTTGTTTTAACAAAACCTGATCATTTTAGAGAGATTTTTGTTTCGATCTTACAAGTTTCCTCTTGTTTTGACAGGTTTTCTCATTCAAACCTGATTTTGCTCCTCAGTTTATTTCCAGGTTCTGGCACTGAGAGTCTCCCGTAGATGAAGTGAAGCAGGTGAAGTCAATGCGGCTCCTGCTGTCTCACAGCAGCGTCTGGTTCTGATGTTCTGTCCTGCAGGAGCTGGCGCAGCGCTACGCCTCGGTCCTCCACCAGTCCGTGGAGGAGGTAGGGGGCGCTCTGGAGTCCATCCGCGTTCAGGCGGTGGCCAGAGGGAAAGGCAACCGGACCTTCAGGGAGACCAGCGTGGCGACGCTGGAGCTGCTGCTGCCCAGAGAGGCCAAGAAGGTCAGAGGGCGTTTTCCCCTGGTGGGCGGAGTCAGGGCTGGGCTGAGGTTCTGCTTCTGCTTCCAGGACTCCAAAACAAAGTCCCACCTGGAGACCCGGCTGGACGTCCCGGTGCAGCAGCTGGTGGACAGGTACGGTGGCCTCACCTGGTGGTGATGTCATAGCCCCGCCCACCAATCTAAGCTGTTTGTGCTCCTGCAGGATCGCAGAGGATTTCAGCCTGAAGCACGTCAAGCTGATCCTGAACGGCAGAACCCTGCGGCCCGGTCGGTACCGCCGCCTCAACGCTGAAATCATCCCCAAAATATTCCTGTGCTAAGAATACCACTTCCTGTCGGGTTCGATTACCGGTTCCCATGTCAACGGATTTCGTTTATTTGGGTCGATGTCGTCGGTTCTCATCACACCTGCAGTTTGAACCGCTTCATTTCCCTTCGATTAAAACGTGCATCATCAATAAAGTCAGTAGGAACTGGTCGCCAGCCATCAGCGCGGCGGTCGGTTCTGACCCGGTTCTGACCCGGTTCTCACCCGGTTCTCACCCGGTTCTGACCCGGTTCTGACCCGGTTCTGACCCGGTTCTGACACAGTTCTGACCCGGTTCTCACCCGGTACTGACCCGGTTCTGACCCGGTTCTCACCCGGTTCTGACCCGGTTCTGACAAGGTTCTGACCCGGTTCTGACCCGGTTCTCACCCGGTTCTCACCCGTTCTGACCCGGTTCTGACACGGTTCTGACCCGGTTCTGACACGGTTCTGACACGGTTCTCACCCGGTTCTGACCCGGTTCTGACACGGTTCTCACCCGGTTCTGACCCGGTTCTCACCCGGTTCTGACCCGGTTCTGACAAGGTTCTGACCCGGTTCTGACCCGGTTCTCACCCGGTTCTGACCCGGTTCTGACACGGTTCTGACCCGGTTCTGACACGGTTCTGACCCGGTTCTGACACAGTTCTGACCCGGTTCTCACCCGGTTCTGACCCGGTTCTGACACGGTTCTGACCCGGTTCTCACCCGGTACTGACCCGGTTCTCACCCGGTTCTGACCCGGTTCTCACCCGGATCTGACCCGGTTCTGACACGGTTCTGACACGGTTCTGACCCGGTTCTGACCCGGTTCTCACCCGGTTCTCACCCGGTTCTGACCCGGTTCTGACCCGTTCTCTCACCCGGTTCTCACCCGGTTCTGACACGGTTCTGACCCGGTTCTCACCCGGTTCTGACACGGTTCTGACCCGGTTCTCACCCGGTTCTGACCCAGTTCTGACACGGTTCTGACCCGGTTCTCACCCGGTTCTGACCCGGTTCTGACCCGGTTCTCACCCGGTTCTGACCCGGTTCTCACCCGGATCTGACCCGGTTCTGACACGGTTCTCACCCGGTACTGACCCGGTTCTGACCCGGTTCTCACCCGGTTCTGACCCGGTTCTGACCCGGTTCTCACCCGGATCTGACCCGGTTCTGACACGGTTCTGACACGGTTCTGACCCGGTTCTCACCCAGTTCTGACCCGGTTCTGACAGGGTTCTCACCCAGTTCTGACCCGGTTCTCACCCGGTTCTGACACGGTTCTGACCCGGTTCTCACCCGGTTCTGACCCGGTTCTGACCCGGTTCTGACACGGTTCTGACCCGGTTCTGACACGGTTCTGACCCGGTTCTGACCCGGTTCTCACCCGGTTCTCACCCGGTTCTGACCCGGTTCTGACCCGGTTCTGACACGGTTCTGACCCGGTTCTGACCCGGTTCTTACACAGTTCTGACCCGGTTCTCACCCGGTTCTGACCCGGTTCTGACACGGTTCTGACGCGGTTCTCACCCGGTACTGACCCGGTTCTGACCCGGTTCTCACCCGGTTCTGACCCGGTTCTCACCCGGATCTGACCCGGTTCTGACACGGTTCTGACCCGGTTCTGACAGGGTTCTCACCCAGTTCTGACCCGGTTCTCACCCGGTACTGACCCGGTTCTGACCCGGTTCTCACCCGGTTCTGACCCGGTTCTCACCCGGTTCTGACCCGGTTCTGACACGGTTCTGACCCGGTTCTCACCCGGTTCTGACCCGGTTCTGACACGGTTCTGACACGGTTCTGACCCGGTTCTCACCCGGTTCTGACCCGGTTCTGACACGGTTCTGACACGGTTCTCACCCGGTTCTCACCCGGTTCCGACCCGGTTCTGACCCGGTTCTCACACGGTTCTGACCCGGTTCTGACACGGTTGACACGGTTCTGACCCGGTTCTCACCCAGTTCTGACCCGGTTCTGACAGGGTTCTCACCCAGTTCTGACCCGGTTCTCACCCGGTACTGACCCGGTTCTGACCCGGTTCTCACCCGGTTCTGACCCGGTTCTCACCCGGTTCTGACCCGGTTCTCACCCGGTTCTGACCCGGTTCTGACACGGTTCTGACCCGGTTCTCACCCGGTTCTGACACGGTTCTGACCCGGTTCTGACACGGTTCTGACCCGGTTCTCACCCGGTTCTGACCCGGTTCTCACCCGGATCTGACCCGGTTCTGACACGGTTCTGACACGGTTCTGACCCGGTTCTCACCCGGTTCTGACCCGGTTCTGACACGGTTCTGACACGGTTCTCACCCGGTTCTCACCCGGTTGCGACCCAGTTCTGACCCGGTTCTCACACGGTTCTAACCCGGTTCTCACCCGGTTCTGACCCGGTTCTCACCCGGTTCTACCCGGTTCTCACCCGGTTCTGAACCCGGTTCTGACACCCGTTCTGACCCGGTCCACAGGTTCTCCACCCGGTTCTGACACGGTTCTGACCCGGTTCTCGCCCGGTTCTGACCCGGTTCTGACCGGTGCATGCAGAACGGCGGCTGGACGAGCAGGGCGTGAAGAACTACAGCAAGGTCATGGTGCTGAAGGTCAGCGACGCCGAGCAGGTCAGCAGGGAGGAGGAGGAGCAGAGGAACCAGAGCCAGATCCTGCAGCGGACCCAGAAAGGCTTCCAGATCCTGTCAGAGAGAGGTGAGTCCGGGTCGGGCCGGGTCAGAGGTCGGCCGGCTGCAGACCTCCATGGATGTTCTGTGTGTCAGACGGCAGCGAGGATCCAGAGACCACGCCCTTCCTGGAGATCGCCGACCAGAAAGGAAACCCGCTGAAGATCCCGCAAGACGAGAAGAAGGTGAGGCTCGGTTCTGAGACCAGAACCAGGACCAGGACCGTTCACAGGTTCTCTGCGTTCTGGCTGGAGGTTTGATACCAGAACCAAGCAGGATGAAGATATGGGTCTGTGCTGGTTTTACTGGGAGTCTCTCCGCTAACTAGCTACGCTAAGGCGCTAATGATAAACATCACTCCTGCTAAAGCTACCAACATGCTAATACCAACATGGTGTTAGTGAAAGCTAATGCTAAAGCGCTAATCATAAATGTTAGCTGTGCCAAGCTAACACCGTTTGGTCCAGCTGTTTGGAATCAGTGGAGAATAATTACTGCTGAAATTGGTCTAGTCCAAGTCACGGCCGAGTCCCTGCCCGGCCTTGCTACCAGCTCAGGTCCTGGTTCTGGCCCGGTCCTGGTGTTGGGCCCGGTTCTGGGCCGGTCCTGGTGTTGGGCCCGGTTCTGGGCCGGTCCTGGTGTTGGGCCCGGTTCTGGGCCGGTCCTGGTGTTAGGCACGGTCCTGGCCGGTCCTGGTGTTAGGCCCGGTCCTGGTTCTGGCCCGGTTCTGGCCCGGTCCTGGTTCTGGCCCGGTCCTGGTGTTGGGCCCGGTTCTGGCCCGGTCCTGGTTCTGGCCCGGTCCTGGTTCTGGCCTGGTCCTGGTTCTGGCCCGGTTCTGGCCCGGTCCTGGTTCTGGCCCGGTTCTGGCCCAGTCCTGGTTCGGGCCCGGTCCTGGTGTTGGGCCCGGTTCTGGGCCGGTCCTGGTTCTGGCCCGGTTCTGGGCCGGTCCTGGTTCTGGGCCGGTCCTGGTTCTGGGCCGGTCCTGGTTTTGGGCCGGTCCTGGTTCTGGCCCGGTCCTGGTTCTGGCCCGGTCCTGGTTCTGGCCCGGTTCTGGCCCGGTCCTGGTTCTGGCCCGGTTCTGGCCTAGTCCTGGTTCGGGCCGGTCCTGGTGTTGGGCCCGGTTCTGGTTCTGGCCCGGTCCTGGTTCTGGCCCGGTCCTGGTTCTGGCCCGGTCCTGGTGTTGGGCCCGGTTCTGGGCCGGTCCTGGTTTTGGCCCAGTCCTGGTTCTGGCCCGGTCCTGGTTCTGGCCCGGTCCTGGTTCTGGCCTGGTCCTGGTTCTGGCCCGGTTCTGGCCCGGTCCTGGTTCTGGCCCGGTTCTGGCCTAGTCCTGGTTCTGGCCGGTCCTGGTTCTGGCCCGGTCCTGGTTCTGGCCTGGTCCTGGTTCTGGCCCGGTTCTGGCCCGGTCCTGGTTCTGGCCCGGTTCTGGCCTAGTCCTGGTTCGGGCCCGGTCCTGGTGTTGGGCCCGGTTCTGGTTCTGGCCCGGTCCTGGTTCTGGCCCGGTCCTGGTTCTGGCCCGGTCCTGGTGTTGGGCCCGGTTCTGGGCCGTCCTGGTTTTGGCCAGTCCTGGTTCTGGCCCGGTCCTGGTGTTGGGCCCGGTTCTGGCCCGGTCCTGGTTCTGGGCCGGTCCTGGTTCTGGCCCGGTTTTGGCCCAGTCCTGGTTCTGGCCCGGTCCTGGTTCTGGGCCGCTCCTGAACGCCGGCTGTCTGCAGGCTCTCATCCTGGCCATGGGCTTGCATGAGAAGGGCCGCTCCCTGATGAAGAGGAGGCAGTTTGACTCCGCCCTCTGCCACCTGCTGCAGGCCGACCAGCACTTCAGGTAGGAAGCCCCGCCCCCCTGCACCTTTGGCGATCTTTACTGGGTTGACGGCGCGGCGGTCCTGCAGTCGGTGCGGCTCGGCGATGCTGGGCTCCGTGGACAACTTCGCCGTGCTGCAGCTGGACATCGTGTGGTGCTACCGGGCCCTGGAGGCGCTGTCCTGCCTGGAGGACGGGCGCAGCCGGCTGCAGCGCGCCGAGGACTGCTTCCTGCGCTGCTACGGCGAGCAGCAGCAGCGCCTGCTGATGATCAAGGTCCGGGAGCCGCCGCGCGCACCGCCGGCCGCCACCGGGGGGAGCCGCCGCTGAACCGGTGTGTCTGCTTCCAGGGCAACACGGGACGAGAGGAAGTCCTGTTCCTGCGGCTGTACCTGCTGCAGAGCCTGCTCTGCTTCCTGGAGGGAAACGACCAGCAGGCCCGAGTTCTGCTGGCCAAGGTGGGTCCGGACGCGTCCCCCCGGCGCTCTCTGTGGTGTCTGCGCCGGTTCTGACCCGACGGCCCGTCTCCTCTCAGGTGGAGGACCTGTACGGCCGTATGGTTCCGGACTCGGAGAAGATGGCCCGGCTGCTGGTTCTGGGTTTCTCTGAGCGGGAGGCCCGGTTGGGCCTGCGGGCCTGCGGAGGAGACCTGCAGGCGGCCGCCGTCCTCATCAGCAACCGGCGCCAGGTAGGGTTCTGACACGGCACCGGGAGAACGAGTCCTCCGGTTCTGACCCGGTCCTGTCCGGTCCAGGAGCGCGAGGAGCAGCAGCAGAAGGAGCGCCAGCGGCGGAGGACGAGGATGGAGGACGTGTCCCGGCTGGTGGAGCTGGGCTTCTCCAGGGCGGACGCAGCCAGAGCGCTGCACCGCGCGCAGGGGGACGTGGACAAGGCGTCCACGGTGCGTCCCCGACCCGCCGGGCCTTGGGACAGAACCCGGACCCGACGGTCACCTGACCGCTTTCTGTCTGTCCCCAGATCCTGCTGGACTCTTCCCTGGTGTCTCCACAGGACGCAGTCAGTCCAGAGAAGGTGGAGCAGGTACCCTAACCCGTCTGTCCTCAGTCTGTCCTCCAGCTGCTGTCCCCTAACCCGTCTGTCCTCCGTCTGTCCTCCAGCTGCTGTACCTGGGGTTCCACAGGGTCCCGGCTGAAGTGGCCCTCAGATTGTCTGGAGGAGACATTCAGTCTGCAACTCAGCTGTTGCTGGACAACCAGGGCGTCCTGTCCCCAGACCTGCTGTCTCCGCCGTCCACGTCCTCTTCGTCCTCCTCTCCGTCCTCTGAGGAGGCCGGCTCCTCGTCCACCTCCCCAGGTGAGGTGGCGCTCTGAGGGTCCAGCAGGCGGCGCCGTGGACCCGTCCTGATTGTCCTCCTGTCCCGTGTCTCCAGAGGACAGCCAGCTGGTCAGCGAGGTCTTGGAGGACATTTCCCGCCACGAGGAGGACTACCTGGACCTGACCCTGGAGGACGAGAGCCACCTGATCTCCACCCTGAGGACGTACCTGGACCGAGGCCCGGCCCGCTCCGTCTGAGACCGCATGGGGCCCAAACGGGACCGGATGGAACCAGCTGTTTGTTTCTTTTCAGGCGGGTTTTGTTTTTTTTCTGATGAGTCAGTTTGAAGGTCATCCTGACGGAGGTCGGAGGTCGGATCCATTCTGTTTGGTGTTCCTGTCTGTTTGGTTCTGATGGACCCGTAATAAAAAGTTCTGCCTGAAAGCAAGAAGCCGGTTCTGAGTTGGGTTACAGGAGCCTTCAACAGTTGCCATGGTAACGGTCCCAGTAGGCCGGAACCGGATCAGAACCTCTGAGGTTCTGATCCGGTTCTGTTGGACCTCCAGATGTCTGTATCAGACGGGTCAGAAAGTTCTGGACTGAGTCCAGCTCAGGCTTTAAACACAAAACATTTTAATGTTTTATTATATTTGTAATTCATTTTAAGTTAGAATCCATTTTTAGATTTTGAAAAAATTTATTACATCTGATTTTTAAAAGGGCAAAGGGTGGAGAGCTGCTCCAGGTGGAGGAGATGTCCTAGTTCAAGTGGAGGAGTTCTAGTATCTCTGGGTTCATGACTGAGGGAAGAAGGGATCAGGAGATCGACAGGCGGATTGGAGCAGCGTCTGCAGTGAACTGGACCGGTCCGTCATGGTGAAGAGAGCTGAGCCAGAAAGCCAAGCTCTCGATTTACCGGTCGATCTACGTTCCCACCCTCATCTACGGTCATGAGCTTTGGGTCACGACCAACAGAACCAGATCTCAGATAGAAGCGGCTGAAATGGGTTTCCTCCGTAGGGAGCTGGGTTTCCTCCGTAGGGAGCTGGGTTTCCTACGTAGGGAGCTGGGTTTCCTACGTAGGGAGCTGAGTTTCCTCCGTAGGGAGCTGAGTTTCCTACGTAGGGAGCTGGGTTTCCTCTGTAGGGAGCTGAGTTTCCTACGTAGGGAGCTGGGTTTTCTACGTAGGGAGCTGAGTTTCCTCCGTAGGGAGCTGGGTTTCCTACGTAGGGAGCTGGGTTTCTCCGTAGGGAGCTGAGTTTCCTACGTAGGGAGCTGGGTTTTCTACGTAGGGAGCTGAGTTTCCTCCGTAGGGAGCTGGGTTTCCTACGTAGGGAGCTGGGTTTCCTACGTAGGGAGCTGGTTTCCTACGTAGGGAGCTGGGTTTCCTACGTAGGGAGCTGGGTTTCCTACGTAGGGAGCTGGGTTCCTACGTAGGGAGCTGGGTTTCCTACGTAGGGAGCTGAGTTTCCTCGGTAGGGAGCTGGGTTTCTACGTAGGGAGCTGGGTTTCCTATGTAGGGAGCTGGGTTTCCTACGTAGTGAGCTGGGTTTCCTCCGTAGGGAGCTGAGTTTCCTACGTAGGGAGCTGGGTTTTCTACGTAGGGAGCTGAGTTTCCTCCGTAGGGAGCTGAGTTTCCTACGTAGGGAGCTGGGTTTCCTACGTAGGGAGCTGGGTTTCCTCTGTAGGGAGCTGAGTTTCCTACGTAGGGAGCTGGGTTTTCTACGTAGGGAGCTGAGTTTCCTCCGTAGGGAGCTGGGTTTCCTACGTAGGGAGCTGGGTTTCCTCCGTAGGGAGCTGAGTTTCCTACGTAGGGAGCTGGGTTTCTACGTAGGGAGCTGAGTTTCCTCCGTAGGGAGCTGGGTTTCCTACGTAGGGAGCTGGGTTTCCTACGTAGGGAGCTGGGTTTCCTACGTAGGGAGCTGGGTTTCCTACGTAGGGAGCTGGGTTTCCTACGTAGGGAGCTGGGTTTCCTACGTAGGGAGCTGGGTTTCCTACGTAGGGAGCTGAGTTTCCTCGTAGGGAGCTGGGTTTTCTCCGTAGGGAGCTGGGTTTCCTATGTAGGGAGCTGGGTTTCCTACGTAGGGAGCTGGGTTTCCTACGTAGGGAGCTGGGTTTCCTACGTAGGGAGCTGAGTTTCCTACGTAGGTAGCTGGGTTTCCTACGTAGGGAGCTGGGTTTCCTACGTAGGGAGCTGGGTTTCCTCCGTAGGGAGCTGAGTTTCCTCCGTAGGGAGCTGGGTTTCCTACGTAGGGAGCTGGGTTTCCTCCGTAGGGAGCTGGTTTCCTCCGTAGGGAGCTGAGTTTCCTACGTAGGGAGCTGGGTTTCCTACGTAGGGAGCTAGGTTTCCTACGTAGGGAGCTGGGTTTCCTACGTAGGAGCTGGGTTTCCTACGTAAGGACTGGTTTCCTCCGTAGGGAGCTGGGTTTCTTCCGTAGGGAGCTGGGTTTCCTACGTAGGGAGCTGGGTTTCCTACGTAGGGATCTGAGTTTCCTACGTAAGGAACTGGTTTCCTCCGTAGGGAGCTGGGTTTCTTCCGTAGGGAGCTGGGTTTCCTACGTAGGGAGCTGGGTTTCCTACGTAGGGATCTGAGTTTCCTACGTAGGGAGCTGGTTTCCTCCGTAGGGAGCTGAGTTTCCTACGTAGGGAGCTGGGTTTCTACGTAGGGAGCTGAGTTTCCTCCGTAGGGAGCTGAGTTTCCTCCGTAGGGAGCTGGGTTTCCTACGTAGGGAGCTGGGTTTCCTCCGTAGGTAGCTGAGTTTCCTACGTAGGGAGCTGGGTTTTCTACGTAGGGAGCTGAGTTTCCTCCGTAGGGAGCTGGGTTTCCTACGTAGGGATCTGAGTTTCCTACGTAGGGAGCTGGGTTTCCTCCGTAGGGAGCTGAGTTTCCTACGTAGGGAGCTGGGTTTCCTACGTAGGGAGCTGGGTTTCCTCCGTAGGTAGCTGAGTTTCCTACGTAGGGAGCTGGGTTTTCTACGTAGGGAGCTGAGTTTCCTCCGTAGGGAGCTGGGTTTCCTACGTAGGGAGCTGGGTTTCCTACGTAGGGAGCTGGGTTTCCTACGTAGGGAGCTGGGTTTCCTACGTAGGGAGCTGGGTTTCCTACGTAGGGAGCTGAGTTTCCTACGTAGGAGCTGGGTTTCCTACGTAGGGAGCTGGGTTTCCTACGTAGGGAGCTGGGTTTCCTCCGTAGGGAGCTGAGTTTCCTCCGTAGGGAGCTGGGTTTCCTACGTAGGGAGCTGGGTTTCTCCGTAGGGAGCTGAGTTTCCTCCGTAGGGAGCTGAGTTTCCTACGTAGGGAGCTGGGTTTCCTACGTAGGGAGCTAGGTTTCCTACGTAGGGAGCTGGGTTTCCTACGTAGGGAGCTGGGTTTCCTACGTAAGGGAACTGGTTTCCTCCGTAGGGAGCTGGGTTTTTTCCGTAGGGAGCTGGGTTTCCTACGTAGGGAGCTGGGTTTCCTACGTAGGGATCTGAGTTTCCTACGTAAGGAACTGGTTTCCTCCGTAGGGAGCTGGGTTTCTTCCGTAGGGAGCTGGGTTTCCTACGTAGGGAGCTGGGTTTCCTACGTAGGGATCTGAGTTTCCTACGTAGGGAGCTGGGTTTCCTCCGTAGGGAGCTGAGTTTCCTACGTAGGGAGCTGGGTTTTCTACGTAGGGAGCTGAGTTTCCTCCGTAGGGAGCTGGTTTCCTCCGTAGGGAGCTGGGTTTCCTACGTAGGGAGCTGGGTTTTCTACGTAGGGAGCTGAGTTTCCTCCGTAGGGAGCTGGGTTTCCTACGTAGGGATCTGAGTTTCCTACGTAGGGAGCTGGGTTTCCTCCGTAGGGAGCTGAGTTTCCTACGTAGGGAGCTGAGTTTCCTCCGTAGGGAGCTGAGTTTCCTCCGTAGGGAGCTGGGTTTCCTACGTAGGGAGCTGGGTTTCCTCCGTAGGTAGCTGAGTTTCCTACGTAGGGAGCTGGGTTTTCTACGTAGGGAGCTGAGTTTCCTCCGTAGGGAGCTGGGTTTCCTACGTAGGGATCTGAGTTTCCTACGTAGGGAGCTGGGTTTCCTCCGTAGGGAGCTGAGTTTCCTACGTAGGGAGCTGGGTTTCCTACGTAGGGAGCTGGGTTTCCTCTGTAGAGCTGAGTTTCCTACGTAGGGAGCTGGGTTTCCTCCGTAGGTAGCTGAGTTTCCTACGTAGGGAGCTGGGTTTTCTACGTAGGGAGCTGAGTTTCCTCCGTAGGGAGCTGGGTTTCCTACGTAGGGAGCTGGTTTCCTACGTAGGGAGCTGGGTTTCCTACGTAGGGAGCTGGGTTTCCTACGTAGGGAGCTGGGTTTCCTACGTAGGGAGCTGGGTTTCCTACGTAGGGAGCTGAGTTTCCTACGTAGGGAGCTGGGTTTCCTACGTAGGGAGCTGGGTTTCCTACGTAGGGAGCTGGGTTTCCTCCGTAGGGAGCTGAGTTTCCTCCGTAGGGAGCTGGGTTTCCTACGTAGGGAGCTGGGTTTCCTCCGTAGGGAGCTGAGTTTCCTCCGTAGGGAGCTGAGTTTCCTACGTAGGGAGCTGGGTTTCCTACGTAGGGAGCTAGGTTTCCTACGTAGGGAGCTGGGTTTCCTACGTAGGGAGCTGGGTTTCCTACGTAGGAACTGGTTTCCTCCGTAGGGAGCTGGGTTTCTTACGTAGGGAGCTGGGTTTCCTACGTAGGGAGCTGGGTTTCCTACGTAGGATCTGAGTTTCCTACGTAAGGAACTGGTTTCCCGTAGGGAGCTGGGTTTCTTCCGTAGGGAGCTGGGTTTCCTACGTAGGGAGCTGGGTTTCCTACGTAGGGATCTGAGTTTCCTACGTAGGGAGCTGGGTTTCCTCCGTAGGGAGCTGAGTTTCCTACGTAGGAGCTGGTTTTCTACGTAGGGAGCTGAGTTTCCTCCGTAGGGAGCTGAGTTTCCTCCGTAGGGAGCTGGGTTTCCTACGTAGGGAGCTGGGTTTCCTCCGTAGGTAGCTGAGTTTCCTACGTAGGGAGCTGGGTTTTCTACGTAGGGAGCTGAGTTTCCTCCGTAGGGAGCTGGGTTTCCTACGTAGGGATCTGAGTTTCCTACGTAGGGAGCTGGGTTTCCTCCGTAGGGAGCTGAGTTTCCTACGTAGGGAGCTGGGTTTCCTACGTAGGGAGCTGGGTTTCCTCGTAGGGAGCTGAGTTTCCTACGTAGGGAGCTGGGTTTCCTCCGTAGGTAGCTGAGTTTCCTACGTAGGGAGCTGGGTTTTCTACGTAGGGAGCTGAGTTTCCTCCGTAGGGAGCTGGGTTTCCTACGTAGGGAGCTGGGTTTCCTACGTAGGGAGCTGGGTTTCCTACGTAGGGAGCTGGGTTTCCTACGTAGGGAGCTGGGTTTCCTACGTAGGGAGCTGGGTTTCCTACGTGGGGAGCTGGGTTTCCTACGTAGGGAGCTGGGTTTCCTACGTAGGGAGCTGAGTTTCCTCGTAGGAGCTGGGT